CTCTGTCTCTGTCTCTCTGTCTCTCTCCATCTCTCTCTCCATCTCTCTCTTTCTGTCTCTGCCTCTGTCTCTGTCCCTCTCTCTCCCTCCCCTCCCTGTTCCTTACTATTTCCTCCCTCCAGTTTCTTCCAGGATGCTGAAATCCTATCCTTCTCTATTTTATGAGGAAGACACTTGCCAGTCATAACATAAAAGTGACTTTGCCCAAATCATGTGGTTAAGAAAACAAATGAGCATGAAACTTAAGCTAATTCTAATTTCTATGTCCTGCATTATATTTCATTGTACTTCTAATCATCATTATAAATGGTAGTGTGTAAGTGTCAAGTGATAATTATCATGGTAATAATAACTACTGTGTGTGAACCTCTTCCTTGGGGCAAAACATTTTGCTATTCTTTTCAAATTTTAATTCTTTAAGGCTTCATGAAATACCAGTGTGAGGATGATTTAACTTCCCAAGTGACAAGTGATTGCTCAAGTTTGAGGAATAAGCGCCTGACCCCAGGCACCAAGGAATGACCTCACAGCTTGGATAAAATTGGGCTCTCATGGAGAGAAAGTTCTAGATCTTCCACAATGAATCAAACCTTTTTCTTTTTAATAGGTTTCTATTTCAGTTGTTTAAATATTGACTTAGACAAACTAGTGAGGCCACAATCTTTTTCTAAATTTTTATAAGATAATGCTGCTTCGTACGAGAGTTTGCTTGATGCAAGAGGTTTTGAGATGGATCTTCTCAGGTTGAATAAGAGGAACCCCGGGGCATGTCAGGTATGAAAGCCTTGCTTCTGTCACTTTTCTTCTAACTACAGAACTGGAGTTTCTGGAGAAGCCAGACTAGGAAGCCCTGGGAAATATTTGCTCTGGGGTCGTGCAGAAGGTGGGAAGGACCATGAAGCAGCTGAGTTCATGGGACACAAGGTGCTTGCGTGTACCGTGCACCTTGGGAACCTGGAGCACAGGAACCTGGAGCACAGCGCTGTGGGCCTGCTAGCTCATGTTTTCACAGCAGCTAAGCAGAACCTGGGTTGTAGTAAGCAAGTCCTAGGTGCAAGTCCAAGCCCTGTCCTTGCCTGGGCTCTTGAGCCAGACTCCACCCCAGATCCAGCTTCACTTCACCCCAGAATCAAGTGTGGGCTGCTCCCTACACCTTGATGCACCTCAGTTTCCAAAGGAGTACCACAATAACATTGCCCCCGCCTCAATTTGATCACTGGTAAAATGTGCGTGTTCAGACCTTTCCAAGAATTTGCACCGGTGTCACTCCTGGCTCAATGAGTCATCATTGCCCTCACTACCTGAACATCAGTCTTGCCGCTGACGCTGTCCACGGTGCTGAAAACGATTCCCGTCGCCCCCATCAGCCTGGGCTCGTCATCGTGGTGCTCTCTGCAGACTCCATCTGAGTTCTCACCGATTGGTTTTCCAGTGAGGCGTCCTCACTGGAAAGGAAGCCATTGCCAGGCAGGCTCAGGACCAGAGGCTGAGCTGTGTTAAGTGTGGACATCTCATCCCCTATCTCCTCCCAATGCCTTCTTCTCTGCGGTGCATCTGTTACGTCGTTTCCCCCTTCCTGGCCTGGTCCTGATTCCCACTCGCCTTCCTCCCTCCCACCCAGTATGCAGCTCCTGCATGAATTCTTTGGACCACCCTTCCTCGCTAATGACTCAGTAGATGCAATGAGGTGCTCCTGGAGATTCATGCAGTGCCCACAAGTGCACAGCAGGAGCTACACCAGCATTCTGAGGCCAGTGCCAGAGTGCTCGAAGGCGACTCCATCTCTGCTGTTTTGCTTCTCCGTGACGGGTTTGTCAACATCTACACCGGGTTCAAATTGCTGAGATAAATAGAACATACATGCCGTTCCCCAGAGCACTTTGACCACAAATCTTTCCAGCTTTGGGTCTTGAGGAGACTATGGAACCTCTTCAAGCTTCTGCCTATGTTTTCTAGAACCAGAGTTGATGATCGTGTTCCATCTTGGGATATATGTTATTTCTCTGCTGGGAGACAAGGGGATCATTCTGTGTGGTTAAATGCTTGAGCTGGAAGTGATACAGGTCTGGGTTGGAGATGTCGTCCCTTTAATTAAACACGGTATTTTCCTGATGATAAAATAGGCTTGGCTAGAGGTAGTAGTCTCATTTCTCTCCATTCCACCAACACTGTTTAGCGAAGGCTTGGTGCAAATAAGGCCTGGCTTCAGGAGCTGTGTGCATGTGGGTGCTCAGGAGCCTGGGCTGTCACCTCAGGGCCGGAAAACTTTACAGTCTCCAGAAAAGTTACTTAATCTACATCATGCCCATGTGGCCTCTTACATATGTGGAATTAATTTCATAATAGTTGAGTCAGGGACTGGGGAGACAGCTCAGGGCATAAGCATCTGCCTGGCAAGCGCAAGGTCCTGAGCTCCATCCCAGGTACCCCCCACCACCACACACACAAATAATAATAGTTCCAATCACATATGATACCTCTTAGGGATGGTAGAGAGTTGTTCCTGAAAGCAAGAGAGAAATTTCTAAAGTAGTGTCCATTACTTTAATCCAAAAGAAAGGAGCTTGGTGTGGTGGCACACTCCTATAATCCCAGATTTCTGAGAAGCAGAAGCAGGAGGGTCACAAGTTTCAGCCAGCTATTAGCAAGTTAGTGAGACCCTGCCAGGAAGTGCCTTGGACACTACTTGGCCTGTACCTACATCTCTATCGATCTGTATCTGCATCCATACCTACTATACCTGTCTACCGTATCTGTCTCTATGTGTGTCTGCACAGTTGCACCTCGGTTCATGAGCACTTTTCAAATGACTTGGCAAAGCATTTTTAGTTTTCAAACTGAGCATCAGGTGACAAACATGACTGTGGCCATCTTTCCCACACAAACACCAGCATGATCATCTTTTGCAAAATTGTGGAACAAATTAAATTAATGGGCAGAGGTGGCCCTGTACCCGAGTCACTGTAGCTATAGCTATGTCTACATCATCTGCAGCTATATGCAGTTCTCTGCTGCTGCGAAGTGCTACATCACTTAGCATTTCTAAGGTCTTTAGAGTCAGTTCCGTGCAAGCATTGTGTGGTCAGAAGCATTCCCCCTTTCTGTTGCTTCCTGTCCTTACCCCAAAAAGCAGGACCTGTCTTCTCATCTGACAGAGGAAGAAGGGTGGTGGGCTTCTCCTTCCTTGCTGACCTCTCGTGTGGAAGAATCTCCAGTGCTTGGGAGGTCCAGTTCAGGTCCAGCCCAGGGGACACCCAGGGACAGAACAGTCTTCAGTCACCCCTAGTGGGAGCTGCTCTGGACCCTGGAGCAAGCACACATCCACTACATGTTGCCATTGTGTCCTTTCCTGGAATGTCTGGCTTGCTGAGCTGTCTTTGAGGAGAGAAGCCAGTGGGGATGTTAGCTTAAGCCACAGCGCTGGACCTGAGAGACTCATTCCAGTCTCTGTGGATTTGGAAAAGTTGCGGGGAGGATACTGAGGGAGGAGGCAGAGGCAAGTCTGCCACCAAGCCACACCACCACGCATCGTCAGTGTCTTCACAGATGCCAGGCCTGCACCTGGAGCCCAGCGAGGAGCTGAGGAGCAGATGCGGCCGTCACTGCACCAGCACTGGGTGTGGCAGGCACTGAGCATGCAGAAACACTTGGGAGACACATTCTCCCTGTTCTGAGAAGCGTCACGAGGGAGGGCCTCCTGGCACAGGCCAGGGGAGCAGGAAGCATTCACTGCAGGCGAAGAGACCGAAGTAGGACCCTGTACACCTGTGTCAAGGCAGCAGGCCTCCAGAAGGTGCGGCAAGCCAGGTGACCTGGGGCTAGCACTGAGTCGGAAGAGGAGGCAAGTTCTGCACACAGCTCAGCAGGAGCAAGCCGTGAAGATGTCAGCTTGAGTGAATTGGTCATCACAAAGGGACACACACTCTTTCACTTAGGGTCATCAGACTCAGAGACAGAAAGTAGGGTAGCGTTTGTCTCAGGAAGGAGAGGAAGAACGGAACATTAGTGTGTAAAGGACTTTCAGTTTTGCAGGATGAAAATATTGGCAGTGGATGGCAGTGATCATTGCATAAGAGCAGGAGCACTTTGAGCGCCTAAGATGGTTATCATAATGAAGCCTATGATAATGAGGTCTGTGATAATGAGGTCTATGATAATGAGGTCTATGATAGTGAAATCTGTGATAATGACGTCTATGATAATGAAGCCTATGATAATGAGGTCTGTGATAATGAAGCCTATGATAATGAGGTCTGTGATAATGAAGTCTATGATAATGAAGCCTATGATAATGAGGTCTGTGATAATGAGGTCTATGATAGTGAAATCTGTGGTAATGAGGTCTGTGATAATGAGGTCTATGATAGTGAAATCTGTGGTAATGAGGTCTGTGCTAATGAAGTGCATGATAAGGTCTATGAGAATGAAGTCTATGATAAAGAGATCCATGATAATGAAGTCTATGGTAAGGAAGTCTATGATAAGGAGGCCTATGATAATAATGTCATCTATGATAAGGAAGTCTATAAAAATGAAATTTATGATAATGAAGTCTTGGTAGCAAAGTTCATGGCAATAAAATCTATGATAATGAAGTATATGATAACAAGATCTATGATAGTGAGATCTATGATAATGAAGTCTGTGATAATGAAGTTTATGCATGTTCAAACTCAACAAAATTTAATATAATTTGCTGCCTGAAAGGAAGCAGCGATTGATCCGAGGTTTCTGAAATTCACTTAAGATTATTTTCACAATGAAAAGCTAGCAGAAAATGCCCCCCAGTCAGCCTACTAGTTGTCCAGGCAATCTCCAGTTTACTTCAGCTCCTGTCACTTCTGTCTCCTAGAAACAACTGTTTCCCATGATGCATGGCTGCTCATGACGACATACCGTAAGAACCAACCAAAGACAGCCAAGTGCTCTGCCTCTGTACTTCCCCTTTGCAACCCCATACAAACCTTCCTCCCTGGGACTTTGGGATCTGATATTTTGGGAATGATCCTGACCAGTGCCCATTGATGTGAAAGAAATCTGCCTCCAAATCCTAGGTGGTGTTCTGGTGTCTCTGCTCACTGTTGCAAAGGGAATATTATGGTTCTGCATTCAGAGAAGAAAGTTTTGAAATGCTTCACTACTTTGTAGCTAAAACCCCAACTCCCTGGCACTGACACTCAAGCCTGGCCTTCAGAACTGCAGTTCGCTCCTACCACAGGGTTTCCCCCTCTCCCTCGGATGCTCAAGGTGCCACCATGTGTATAAATTGGCAAAGAAATCCAATCCCAGCCCCTCCTTTTTGTAGTACTGGGGTTGAGCACAAGACCTTCATATAGAGCTATTGGCAGTGACCATTGCATAAGAGCAGGAGCACTGTAAGTGCCTAAAATGGTTATCATAATGAAGCCTATGGTAATGAGTTCTGTGACAGTGAGGTCTATGATAGTGAAATCTACGATAATGAGGTCTGTGATAATGAGGTCTATGATAGTGAAATCTATGATAATGAGGTCTATGATAGTGAAATCTATGATAATGAGGTCTGTGATAATGAGGTCTATGATAGTGAAATCTATGATAATGAGGTCTACGATAGTGAAATCTATAATAATGAGGTCTGTGATAATGAGGTCTATGATAGTGAAATCTATGATAATGAGGTCTGTGATAATGAGGTCTATGATAGTGA